CCTGTCCAAGAGAGGGACAGGAGGGGGGCCCGAGCGGGTAGTTCCCCGGGAAGCTGTCTCTTCCAGGGACTTTTATAGTGTCTCTAAAACCAAAGAATGAATTTTAGGAACAAATGGAGGTTATGAACAGAATATATTTATTGAGAGAAAGAAAGCTCCTGTCCAAGAGAGGGACAGGAGGGGGGCCCGAGCGGGTAGTTCCCCCTCTAATTATATTTATTACATCTTCTTGTTAAGATTATGTAAGGAAGGGGCCAGGGAGATGGCTCAGTGGAATAAGCGCTTCCCTGGCAAGCGCAAGGGCCTGAGTTCAGTCCCCGGTTCCACCAAAAAAAAAGAGATTATGTAAGGATTTTTCTGTTCTCTTTATTCTTTCAGAGAGCTTCAACTTTAATTCACTGATGCTTTGTATTGTTTTTTCAGTCTCAATTTCATTAATTTCTACTTTGATCTTTATAATTTCCTTCCTTGTATTAGTTTTAGATTGGGGTTCTTGTTTTCCTGTGGCCTTGAGGTACATTATTAAGTTACTTATTTGGGCTCTTTTTTTTTTTTTTAATGTCAGCCTTCACAGCTATAAACTTCCTTCCTGGGCCTGCTTTGTTGTTCCACCTAGCTTCTTGTATGCTGTACAGTACTGACATTTTCTTTGGTTCCAGGAACTGTTTATATCTTCTGTGACCCAGTGATTATTCAAGAGTATATTGTTTAATTTTTATGTGTTTACATCATTTCTATAGTTTCTTTTGCTATTGATTGCTAGTTTCATCATGCTATGATCAGATGATATATGTGGGATAAGTTAAATTCTTTTGCATTTATTCATACGCTATGGGCTAAAATGTGGTGCATTTTAGAGAAACTCCCATTTCAAACCAATGTACATTTGTTGTTGGATTGATCACACTGTAGATGTCTATCAAGTTCCTTTGTGTTTCACCTTATATTTATTTGTTGATTTTTATTTTTGTCTCTGATCTTCTGTGGCAGTTCGATATCAAAGCCCCTCCAATATAATTATGTTGATTTTTATCTGATTTTTTATATCTAGTAGTGTTGGTTTTATGGTGTTTAGTTTGCAGGTGTTTGGTGATTTTATGTTTATAATTGCTATCTCTTCCTGTTGAATTCTTACCTTAAATGATATTAGTGACCTTCTTTATCTCTTCTGATCATTTTATGTTAAAGTTCACTGTGTTTGAAAATAAAATAGCTACTCCTGCTTGTTTTCAGATTCCTGATGTGCAAACCTTTGATTTATTGATTGATTTTAAGGTTGATTCTCACTATTTAGTTTAGGCTGCCCTTGAACTTGTTATGTAACCCAAGCTTGCCTTAAATTTGTAGTTATCCTTCCTCAGCCTCCTGAGTACTGGGATGATAGGCATGTACCACCATTACCAGCTCCATCTTTTGATTTGTAGTCCATAAATTTCTTTTTGGATCAAATGTTTCTTTGTTTTTTCTTTCTTTTTATATATTTCCTACTTTTATTTTATTTTGACATCAGTTATTTTTATTTTAAAGAAAAAAAAATAAAAACAATGGTACAAAATCTCAAAACAAGATTTTAGGAGAGTAACAATGGTTAGTACATTGTGTATTGTTACTGCCAAAGTAGTTTCTCATATTACAAGATATAGGCAAGAAATAATAAGCAAATAACATAGGTACAAACATCTTTTTTTTAAGTTAACAGAAAATGGAAATATACTTTTTAAAGTTTCTAATACTAGGAGAAGATATCATACAATGTCTTTTAAATAAATTTTAAGTCAAAGATACAGTATAGATTTTAGAACAAAAATTAAGATTAAGCAATATTCAGAAAATTAAATGTTTCAAAACAATTGAACTAAGAAAAAGTTTTCATGATAGCAAAGAAGTACTAAGAGTAAAACATAAGATAAATACTGGAATGGCAAATAAATGACCAGCACTTCTAACCGTTTGAGGATAGGATATCACACAAAGTTCTAGTGTGTTGTGGACATGTATAATGACCATGACAGTTACTGGTGGCTAGGCATTACTTGTGGATTTTGTTTATCAATTTGTTCTGCCAGTCTGTATTTTATCATTGGGAAACTGAGACCATTCACATTAACAGTATTGACTTATTCCTTTCTTTTCCTGTTGCTGATTCCTTTTTTTCCCTTTTTGCTTAATTACTCACCCCGCCTGGTAATTTCATTCTGTTAGATAGACTTTTTGGTATTGTTGGCTTCAGTGTCACTTTAATGGGTATCCTTGAGAATTTATAGAGTTCTGGTTTTTTAGTCATTAATTTTAACATTCTTTCTATCATAGGAAGATCTTGATTCTCTATTAATTCTGAAAGATAGTTTTGTAGGATATCAGTCTGTGTTGAAAGTTGTTTTCTTTTAAGGATTGAAACACTTCATGCTCTCTTGGCTTTTAAGGTTGAGTTGAGAAGTCTACTATAATTCTAATGGGTCTTTCTTTATAATTGTTTTGTGATTTTTCTTTATACCGCTGTCCCCCCACGCAAAATAGAAAAAAAAAAGATAAGCAAAACCTCCCATGACCACTTTTTCCACAATTCTACCAGTCTTGGGAGAAGAAAACTATGGAGGAGAGGGTCTGATTATGAGTCTCTTTCCTGTTCTGTTAGTAGTGACTAATTTTATAATTGATTAAAAGCATGGCGCCTCTTTAGCACAACTACTCCTTTTACATTAATACCAGGAATTAGGTTCTTTGATGAATACCCTCAATAGGATCAAAATTCAATACAAATGTTACCCTTACATGTTACAAGAGTCACCACAACTCCTTATGAGTTGTGTATGAATCTTTATGTAGTCAACAAGTCATCCTGACCTCTGTGTTTCTATTTTCAGTCTTTCCTGATCTGAGTGGGTAACTCTGAGTAATTTTGGCTCTTGTGGATGATATTTACTGACCTTGCTCCACTGTCCACCTTGAGATCTGGCTTGCTAGCCACTTCTCCCAAAGGATCCTTCCCTCTCTTCTTCCTCTCCCTTCTGCTTTCCTCTCCTCTTTTTCTAACCTCTTTCTTTCTTTGCCCCCTCTCCTTTACTCTGCTGTGATTTTCTCAGGGCTGGGCTTCAACATCGTCGGAGGGACAGATCAGCAGCATGTCTCCAATGACAGTGGCATCTACGTCAGCAGCATCAAAGAGAATGGGGCTGCGGCCCAGGATGGGCGGCTCCAGGAGGGTGACAAGATCCTCTCGGTGAGAACTGGCTTCAGCTTTCTTTGCTGTTCTTTGATTCCCTTGACTCTGGACTCTTCTCTGGGCTTCTTTCTGCCTGCCCTTTTGGATCTGCGATTTCCAGATAATATAGTTGGATAGCAGGTGTCTTGATTGGTCTTCCAACTGCACCTTCAGGGTTGGAGGACAGTGTCCCCCTCACTTGACAGGTAAAGCAAACTAAATGCACGTTGCAAAGTTTCTTGTCCAAATGCAAAAACCACAGTAGAGAGAGGTGACTGCCTTACGTGTGGAAAAGAGATTTTCATGTCTCTTTCATTATTGTATCAGCTCTCTTTTGTTGATTAAAATACTGATTTGTGTCTTCTTTGAAAGGAGTATCAGTTCTTCCTTCAAAGAAGTAACACAGGGATTAAGTGTCCTCTTCAGATTCTGAGCCCAAGATGAAGAGTTGGAATGCAGTTTGACTTGGATATGCATCAACCGAGCACTACTTTACTTTGTTAATTTTTTTCCAGGGTGGGAACCATGTGTTCTTTTAGCTTTTCATATTACAGTACAGTGCTCAATATATGTTTAACAGATAGGTTAGGAAAGTCAGGAAAAGATAGAAAAATTAACTGTTAAATATCTCCTAAGGACTCTTCAATTTTTATTTATTTATTTATTTTGGCAGAATTGGGGATTGAACTCAGGCCCTTATGCTTGCCAGGGAAGCACTTATTCCACTGAGTCATCTCCCTGGCCCTCCTAAGGACTCTTAACATAAATTAGAATAAGCTACCATAGGATACAGGCAAAATAAGAGTTTTAAAAAGCAATATAGTGTACAGTATACCCCTGGATATACTTTTCATTTCTCTTCCCAACCATTGGCTACAGTATCATTATGATACTTTCAGATGTGTTGGTTAGGGTTTTTTAGTTGACTGTCAAGTCCACTAAAGATGGTCAGCTTGTTACGTAGAACCAATACGGATAATTGATATAAAAAGTGGAGAAGTTTCCAGAGGGTGACCTGTTACCCATGTGGTATGTTCCTGGGAGTTTGAAGTAGCTTTAGAAATCTCACCCTAGAAGGAAATTTAGGGTTTTCATGGTAGAGGAGCCTTTTTCTCCACATGGGCCAGTGTCCATGGCCTGTAGTCTAAAGAGGAGAAAATTATACTTTCTGTCATGAAATGAATCAGGCTGAAATAAATTAATGACATACGTACTAGGAGTTTTAGGTAAGAGAGTTGAGTATTTGTCTCAGACCAGATTTTGAACCTGTCTCCATAAGATAAGTATATCTTTTTGAAGACTATACTATAATTTTGTTTTTTTAAAAAAAATTCTCTTGAATTATATGAAATCTCTGTGTCTTTTCCCTTTCTTTCTTCTCCCCTTTTCTCCCTTCCCTTCCCCTCCACTTCTTCTTCCTTCCCTTCTTCTCTCCCTCCCTTCCTCCCTCCCTTCCTTCCTTTTTTTTTTTTTTTTTTTTCTTTTCCTTGTCTGATTGTGCTCTTCCAGACCCAAGGTGTCACACAGGCTAGGCAAGCACTCTACCATTGCGTTACTTTCTCAGTCCTTTTCATTGTTTATTAATATTGAGACAGGGTCTTGTTAAATTGCCATCCTAACCTCTACCTTGAGATCCTCCGGCCTCAGTCTCCAAGTAGCTGAGGTTACTACTCTGCCCAGTTTTAAGAATCTTTCTTAAGAACATGTCTTACCAAATCTAAATTATAAATGTAGTATCATGGGTGGCATTATTTTAGTCTGTCTCACTATTTTTGCTGTGTTTCAGCCTATCAAGATTCTCCCAGGCTCTGATTCTACGTGAGATAAAGACATTGATAAATCTATGTTTTCTCTGAAAGGAATATTTAAGAGTTTAGAAGCAGATATTTTTTCCTGTGCTGTATCTCCCAGGAGAAAAGTCACTCATAAGGAAAAAGTGAGAGTGGATTGTTAAGATAAAGGTACAGCCTGTAGTTAGAATCTATGTATTTTACATTTTGACATAAATCACAGTCTTTCCAAACACTGGAGGCTAGACACTGGGTGAAGAAAGGATTCAACAGAATAGGAGTTAAGAAAAGATAGCTATTATTTGAAAAGCTTTGGTTGCCAGTAGATTATTGCAAAGTGAAAGTAGTAAAAAGGTTTAAACACTAAATGACAACTCAAATGCTAGAAACTTTAAAGTTAATCCTGTTTAATATAGTAACCCTAAGAGGTGGGTGTGGTTATTATTTTACCCATTTTCCAGTTCTGGAAACTGAAATTGATGAAGTCAAACAGCTTATCTAAGGAAACACAACTAGTGACAAAGAACTAAAATTTTTATCTACTTGAATTTGGAATATTTTGACCAGTATATTGTGTATTCTCCAAAGTTAATAAGGAGGTGGAATTAGGTATCCTAAAAAGAAAGTTTCCTGGTCAGTTAACAGTAGTTGGTACATACAATCTTATATAAAAACTGAATCCATCTTTCTATAAAGGAGACAAATAGAAAAAAAAGGCAAATCTCAGTGTGAAAAATTTATTAAAGATGAGATGAGGAACTTTTAGTTTATACAATTTTTTTAAAGATAAAAGATTAGAAATAACACAAAATTTCACTAAACACGATAGGAGGAATTCAACAGTGGTAGTTATATTGTGTAATGCTGTCTTCAAATTAGTTTTTTAGATTACCAAATATAAGAGCTGGCCAAAAGGCTCAGTGGATTAAAGTGCCTGCAAGCAGGCACAGGGCCTGGGGATTCGATCCCCAGACCTGCAGTGCCAGGCCCACCCCTGGGGCACGCTGAGATGGCAGTTGAGACTGAGCATGGTGGTGTGCGCCTGTAATCCCAGCTCTTGGGAGGCTGTAAACAGGAGGATCACTAGGAGTCTGATCTACTGGTGAGACCCTGAACACACTGTAGACCCTTCCCTAAAATACAATAGATAAATAAACAAAATTTTAAAAGTTTACCAAATATAAACATGCAAAATTTGAAAAAGAAAAAAAATATTAGAAAGGAGAAGAAAGAAGAATTTAAGCATTAACTACTCCTTTTAATAGACCAACAGAAATCAGCTGTACAATTATCCAAGCTATCCTGTGAATATATACAACATAAATATACCTTTTTCTTCTTTCTTTCTTTGTCCTTTTCCTCATGCCAGTTTTTCCTTCCCTTGGAACTGATTCTTTCCATTTTACAGTATCTGTTGTGCCTTTAAGATTTTATGTGCTCTTTCAAGTTGAACTTTTCTTAGGTGAGCTTCAGGTTGAAGAATTTTTTTCACATTGTCTTATTACTGCAAGGCCTTCTGACTTTAAAAAAAAGGATTGGAGATAGTGATAAAGATAAATGTCAGTAAATTGAAAAGTAGATGTCTAAAAACTTAGCTCATTTAACTTTAAAATTTATAGCAAAGAAAACTACTTTCTCAAAATACAAAAAAAAAAAAATAGAAGAAACATTTTAAACATTACAAAGATGTGAAAAAGGTACATTGCAGAAAATCATACTTCTTTGTTCTGAGGAATTAAGAAAAAGACATGGAAAAGAGCAGAGAAAATTCCAGAGGTTGAAAGGCAAAAATAGAAGACAGCCATAGAGGAAACTAGCGCTTGTGCCAGAGGGAGGGCAGCGTGTCCTCTCTATTTCTCTTGCTCATGTTTCATGTCTGAGAGGTCATGAAACAGTGTTATGAGTCTTTCACTTAGGGCGTCTTCTTCCCAGGCTGTCCTGAAGTAAGCCTGCTAGGTCATGAACAGTAATAATTCCCTCTGTTTAGTTTGCTTCATCCCTTGGATACATTACACTTACATGAGTTATTATTGGCATCAGTGTCTCTAGAAAATATGCCTAATATTTATTAGCTTATATTCCATTTAATTTGTATTGATTTTTTGTATTCTCCAGATGTGGGCTATTTTTCATAGGTGTAAAATGCATCCTTTTTTTTTCTAGTAACTTTTGTTAGATAGCCAAATTAAAAGTGTGTTCCTTTCTTTGCATACAACCATTTTAGGTAATTAATGGAAGTATCATTAGGTGATTTTGTACATTTCATGTGAGTTATTACTATTTAGTCTTTCCATCAGATGGAATGCTCACATGTTGATTTTAAGTTCTAAAATTAAATAATTACCTGATATATATCATGCCTCTTTTCACATTGAAAGTGAAATTTAATTTTAGGGGAAGTTTATTTTTTGTTTTTGGTGCCGAGGACCAAACTGAGTGCTTCCAGCTTGTTAGGCAAGCATTTTACCACTGAGCCAAATCCCCAGCCCCTGAAAGTGAAATTTAATTTTTTGTCTACTGTGTATGATTTAAAAAATTTTTAAAAATATATATTTTAACTAACTGATGTAAGTAAATTCTAAGATCATGTTGTACCTGAAACAAAAGCCAGTATTAGTAATGGAGGGCAGGCCAGTTCAGGTGATAGATGGTAATTCTTCACTTATTGTTTTTATGTGTGTTGGTGAGTATGGCTTGATATTAGAATAGCTTTCCATGGAAGCTGGGAAATTTTTCCTTTTGTTGAAAAAAATGTAAACTAAGTGAAAGGAGGTAGTCAGGCATGGTCAGTCCCCCTGAACTTTATATTAGTATAAAGCGCAGCATGATGCGTGATGTAGGTGGTTACTATACTGCATAGGTAAATGCTACATTTTAGCCAAACCCATTAGAAAGCAAACGAGCACAGATTGGGCCATCAGCCAGTCTGCATTGCTTATTGTGTTCAAGTACAATTCTTAATTAGATGTATGAAAGAGTTGCTTAATATTTATCAACTGTTATTCTTGTTGGCCTTCAGAATACTATACCACATGGTATGGAGATTCACAAAGAAATGAACTACAGGCCTTTGCCATTAGATTAGAAAACAGTAGCAAAGACCCAGCAAAACTGTCATCCAATGAGCTGCAGACTCACTGAAGTATACAGCAGAATCCTTTAGATAAAATACTTCTTCAAGAGTCTGTCTTCTCACCTTTGATCCTTCAGTACATAGCCCTGAAGCTGGAAATAAGGTAAACATCTGATTTAGTTCAGTGAGTGAATCACTCCATCATGACACAGTGACTTTTTTCCACTGGGCCTGATTAATTGGATTTAGATAATTTTTTTGTTGTTGTTTCTTCCAACTTGATGGAAAAAGAGACAAAAGATAGTTCAAGACCTTGGTAAAAATTTCAATGTTCAGCATTTAATCTGAGATCATTGTTAAGTATGTCTCATTCCTTTTTTTTTTTTTTTTCTTTGTGTTATCCTTGAGTCAGAGCACCTGTTTAGCGAGCTATGTGACAGCTAGAGCACATGCTAGTTGAAAGGGAGTCATGAGACATGTAACTGAGAAGGTGGAGATCTTCACATACCAGTGTGAGAAGTCAAGCCATGTACTCTATCTTTATTCCCCAGTTTCATTTTCTGTGTCGTAAGCAGGAATATGACACTGAGAGATTTGTACTATAAGAACATTGTTCTTGGGCTGGGGAGATAGCTCAGTGGCATAAATTGTGGGAGTTTCATAGAATTGTTTCCAGAGTTGAAGGGGGCAGTGTCAATGATGAAGAACATAAAGGATAGGGTAGTAACTTGGAAAACGTACAGATAACAGAATTCCCACTGTTACGCAGGCATTGGAGCTAAGGAGAAGCCACTTTATCATAACCAGAACTTTCTTCAAATGGGCTATGGAACCTCAGCTGTGAAAAAACATAACTGAAAATGAAAACAGTTATGCTAAATAACTTTGCCTGCACTTCTGGCTCTTGGAATTTGCCCTAAGGAGCTTATTTTTGGGGTGTGGGGATTTAAAAGGTTTAACCACAGGAAAGTGAACTGTTGGCTTAGAAGCACTGTTAGCCTTCTGCTTTTCTTACTGCTCTTCTTGCTGTTTTTGGCAGGTGAATGGCCACGACCTAAAGAACCTGCTGCACCAGGATGCGGTAGACCTCTTCCGTAACGCAGGCTGTGCTGTGTCCCTGCGAGTGCAACACAGGGTAGGTGTCACTTGCAGCCAGATGCTTGGTTCCAGGTTTTTCTACCATGCTTGGGAATAAACCATGGGTGTGTTTTGTTTTTTTTACTGTCACTACTTTGAAAAGCCTATCATTGGGATCCTGTGATACTTGCAAAGGAAAATACATAGCTGTCTGCTTATAATCCAGGTCCTACCTTCAAGATAATATTCTTCAAAGATAAAACTTGATCATTGATCAATTTTTTTTTTTTTTTATGATCAATTTTTTTGAACCAGGAATTGAACTTGGGACCTCACGCTTGCCAGGCAGGTGTCATACCACTAAGCTACATCCCTGGCCCTTTATATCAAATTTAAATAGATAGGGAAGACCCACATGCCTGCCCATGATGACTCTTGCTTATAAAACCAACTACAAAGATGGTATGGTTTTCTGCTTCTCCCTATTTGCTTTTTCCTGTCACTGCTATGAACCCTTCTCAGCTATGTGACCTTCTTGGTCAAAGCCCTACCATTCAAAGGAAGCTTTAGGCAAAAGGAATGGCACCCAGAATTCAGTCAAGGCAGCTCCTGTGCCTGTGTCTGCCTCCTTCCTAGTGTGTTTCATAATTTAGATGGCAGAAGGAAGAGAGGCAGACATCCTTCCTCCCACAGCACCAAGGGCTTCTGAGTGCGTATTCGCAGCACAGTTCCTTGTACCTTTCCAGTTGCTCCTTCTTACATCAGAAGATATTCCTGGGGCTGGTGAGATGGCTCAGTGGTCTAAAGCACCTACTTAGAACAAGCTTAAGCCAAGCAAAGCACAGGGACCGCGATTCAATCCCCCAGCACCACATGCCAGCCAGCCCCGCCCCCTGGTGGGCTGAGCTGGCCACACACACACAAAATAAATAAATAAATAAATAAAATTTAAAAAAAAAAAAAAAAAAAAAAAAATAAATAAAAATTAAAAAAAAAAAAAAAGAAGAAGATATTCCTACAGTACAAATCTCTCAGTGTCATATTCCTGCTTAAGGCACTTACTCTTTGCCTTAAGTGAGTGAGGATTCAAAGACCCAAGATTGAGAGGAGCTGATAAAAAATGGAGACGGCTAAAACATGAAAAATAGCTGGAAAGCAGCAGTCAGGGCTATAAGCAGACTATGGGTGTTAAGGTTAAAAAACTGACAAAGAGATAGTATTGATCATCACCCATTTCTGCCTCGGCTCTTCTCATTCTGACCCATGGAAAGATGTGTGTCATAGTAGATAAAGGCAAGTAAGGACAGGCATGCACTGCAGATATGGTCAGGATTCCTTGTGAAGGTGTGCAGGAAGTTATTGCAATGTTCACTTTATGAAACCCCAATCAGTAACTTATAATAAAATTGGCTTGGTGGTTAGAGGATTGGCCCTGCCTGGAAACTGTCTTCTTGTTGGGCATATTCTGTCAGGACATTGCATCAAGGAATAAGTGAAGGATGAAGAGCTAGTGGAGAGTGTATGAAGGTAGGTAGTGTAAGCTTGCCTTTCAGAGGGAAGGGTCAGAACTTCATAAATTAAAACAAGGAGATTGAATCTAACCAAACAAAGATGCCACCATAATTACTGCAAGTTAGCCATTAAAAATTGATATTACGAAGGGCCATCTTTGGTAAAGATGACCAAAATAGGCAGTCCAGCCTTAAAGGGAAATACTTAGGCAGCAGAAATGGTAAATGATAGTATAGTTTATATATTTACCTCTGAGCCTTTTCTTTGTCTAGTACTGTAAGTTAGGACATGAAGGATAGGACCCTACTTTGGATGGATGGAATGCATGCTGAAAATTAGAAAGCCTTTTCAAATAATGGTGTGTGCTTGTGTTGACACTGCCTAGATCTGTTCTTACTACATTCTGGTGGTATGTGACAGTCTTTGTAAGCAAGCATTTGCAGGAGATTTTCTTCCCTCATCTCCCTTTCCCTGCTCGATAGTATCTGTGTTCCACACAGAACCGGTAGGTTCCACCTCGTATTTTTACTTCCTTGGCATGAAACACACAGAGGGAAGTATGAGCAGTACATACAGACAGAAAACTTGCCCTTCCCTGGTCCTGCTAGGTCAGTAGGACAACAAGGTTGAAGGCCACCCCATCAGACCTATTTCTTCCCAGAGAGTCTACACTGGTGCGCCAGTTCAGGACAAAGAGGGGATTCCTGTGCAAGCTTCATGTGGCCTACAGACCTCAGCCCCAGGCAGTGCACCATCTCAGTTGGGATATAGACAGTGATTGTTAGAATGAACGTTCTTTTTTCCCTTCCAGTTACAGGTGCAGAATGGACCTACAAGCCATCGAGGTGACGGGGAGCTGAGTGGTTTTCCCGTCGCGATGGTGCTGCTGCCAGTGTTTGCTCTCACTGTGGTCGCAGCCTGGGCCTTCATGAGATACCGGCAACAGCTTTGAAAGGCGTATCCTCCCCAGCTCCCAGTGAACTTAACGTGTCTCTTGCCTTCCTTCCCTGCCATTCTCCCATATCTTTCCTTCTCTCTGTGTAGCCAGAATATGATTTAAAGTGAATGATTCCCACCATGAACTTTGCTGTTCAAAATCCCCAAGTCTTCATATTCTAATGGGAGAGTAAAGGTATTGTTTGAAGGAAAGCCAAAGAAAAGACGCTTAGAACAAGTGAGGAGTCGCATATGTTACCAGACTGCCAATAGAAATTCAGCTTCCATCCAAAGACGGAAAAGTCCAGTCTTCCTGCCACCATGGGTGATACCTCTTTAGCTGGCGTACCTTGAAAGCCAGCTGTAAGACAGGAGGAGGAGGGGGAGAAGGAGGAGGAGGGGATTTTTCTTCTGATGATCTTCCTTGAGAAGTGTTTGTGGCCTTTATTTAAATAATTTCTAATTACATATGTGGGTGCCTGTTTTGGACATAGAATATTGAGAAGAGCTTTTTACTTTTTTTAAAAAAGCAAATACATATATATATATACATATATATACACAGTACATATATACACGTGCATATGTGATAGTATAATATCAATGTCTTATGGAGAATTAATGAGGTAAGAAATATACTCTGGTTTCTAGGTTTGTGATCTAAGGCATGATTTTAACTAAAGAATATTAAAGAACTACTTGTAGACCATATATTATGGGAATGAGAGTAAACTTTAAAGCTAATGCCCAGTCAGAGGCATTAAAAAAATAAGCAGCCAAATTGAAAGTCGTAGAACAATATTTGTTTTCAGAATAGCTATGATAAAATTGAGGCACAGTGCCATAAAACAGCTCTGCTTTAGTGAACATTAAAAAAAAGAAAAAGGAACTCTGAGGTTTAAAGATAAGTCATAACACTACCTCTGGGCTGCCCTAGCGATTTCTTGGTGCCCGAAAGTACATGGAAGGCTCTGCCGGGGTGATGTACGCGGCCTGCAGCAGTGTAGCCAGCCAGTCCAGTGACAGCTTTAGGAGGACAAGAGACTGTGCTTTGGGTGTGTGACCTGAACCCGCTCGGACTAACTTTTAGTGCAAAACCTGAAAGGCGTAAGATCAGCTCTGTTCTGGTTTAGCGAAGGTCTGGACTGCTAAGTTTTTTAAAAATGGCTTTGAACAAGTTAACTTGTTTAAGGAAAGGGGAAAAATGAATTTTGTTCCATGGGTGTTTCCTGGGGAAAGCCACTTGAGAGCAGAATGGATGAATGGAAGCTATGAAATACCAGAGATGTTGGTGGAGTGGAAACTGTCCTGTTGGTGTGGTATTTAACTTAGTTTTAAAGCACTGAGGACAGCTAAACCAATGCTAATTTCTGGCTTTAATTTCCATTCTTCAGGTAGTGGGCTAGACTGTAGGCTTTATATCATTTTAACATAAGAGTATGAGAACTTTTCTTTTAGATAATTATATCCAGTTTTAACAAGGACAGTCTAGCAGTCATTTAACAAATAATGATTGAATGTCAGCTTTGTGAAGACCTTTGCAGAGTAGTAAAATATGTAACCTTTTTGATTCAACTGGGAAGAAAACACTTAAAATACAAGTAGCCACCTAAGTAGGGTTATGTAAGTTGGTGTCGAGTTTATATTGCAGTATAAACTCTCTCTTAAAAGAGAAAAGTTACTGGCAATTGGGGCAGTTCAGAAGTTCCCATGGAGAAAGGGAATACTCCAAGGACCCTCGAGGAGCTGACAGTCTAGTTAACTAGAGACTTTGTAAGTAGATGAAATGTTAAGAGTACTATATATCATCTGGTAGCTGTTGAGAAAAAGTTACCATACAGAACATGATACAGAACAAAGATGTGCAGATGACCATTGTATTTTTTTAGTAATTTGGAAAAGGAAAGCCGTCACTCAATGGCATCAGGCTAGAATAGAAAGGTATAGCAAAAAGGATCTTTGCCTCTGTGTCAATTATTGATATAGGGAGAGTCTTGCTATAAACAATCCTGGCATACTTTTTACCTTTCACTCTGAGCTGTTTGGTAGTTTGAGGCTCATGTAGATAATCAGACAGATTGTGGGCTCCACAGAGAAACGCCAACAGTATTGCAGCTTTCAGCTCCCCCCTCTGGGGGCCTAACTCTGTGACGCCACGATCAGCAGCCACAGCGGGCCTGCTCACCTCCCAGCATGCCCCTCAAGCCTTGGACATTAACTCTTGGGACATACAAAATGGAGCAAATGGCAAGTAGAAAAGAAAACAATTTAGATTTTTTGTTTATATATAAAATAAACATCTAGCCCATCCTTGATAGTTTTGCTTTCTGTTGCACCTAAATTTAGGTTTTCTTGGAAATAAAGCAGCATTCAAAAATCAAATATTTTGGACTGGGGAGACAGCTTGGCTCCTGGCAAGTGCAAGGAGCTCCTGGCAAGTGCAAGGAGCTTTGTTCAGTCCCCAGTTACCACATGCTATGCAGGCCCTGGAACTCCGGGTGTGCCATGCCGACCACCAAAACTGGGTATGGTGATGCACACCTGTAATCCCAGCACTTGGGGAGGCTGAGACAGGAGGATCACTACAAGTCAGAGCTGTGTAGTGAGACCCTGCGCCAAATAAATAAGTAAAAGATTTGTTTAAAAATCAAACATTTGAAAGTCTTATGGAAGAATGCTGTTCATTATACTAATTATATGGAAAACTAAAATTATAATAAATGAGGTATCAATCGTATCAATCCATGATAGCTTATGAAAGAGTTCATGTGTATAGACTGGATCTAATATTTCTGTGTTTTGAAAATTAAATACAGGTATTTTCAAGACCCTATATTTAAATCATTTCTCTATATTTGTCTTATATAAAATACATGCTATTCTAGTTTCAGTCATCTATGCTTTTACTGCAAAGTTTTAACTTCTGTGGGAATGGTTTCATGTGATTAATTGAAACATCTAGCCATGTATAATAAAAAAGTTTTACTTGTTACTGCACTCTATGCCAGGATCTGTACTAAAGTTGAATTAATGTATGCTATTTGTTCATGTGTCACAACCCTGAGATCTAAGCGTTGTTATAGATATGAAAGACTATAGAGTAAATTACTTCCCTCGAATTCTATAGGTGTTACTGATAGAATCAAGATTTGAACTCAGGACTTAAGGTGCTAGTGTCAATGGTATTACCTCCATAGCAGTGATTCTCAAAATGAGGTCTCTGGACAATAGCATGAGGATTACCTGGGAACTTGTTAGGAAGCAGATTCTCCAGCTCTATCTCAGAGATACTGAGTCAGAAACACTGCATGTGGCACTCAGCAAACCTGTTCAAAATCCTCTTGGTAACTGATTCAGGCTATAGTTTAAGATTCACCACTCTGTGTTAATAGTTCTCCCATTTTTCAGGTTAGTATCACCTTACTCAATGCATAACTCCTTATGCCCAGGCTGGAACTCAGACAAAATGGGGATCTGTAGGTCTGAGGCTTAGATAGCACTAAAATTTTATCAAGTGATTCCATTGTACAGCCTTAGTTAAAAATGTTCTGCAGCATTCAAATCTAGATACTGTTTAAATTACTGAATTACAGACATTGCTCTAGCCAAAATGAAGACTGTCACTTGAGCAATAATGGAGCCCAGCATTTTGAGCTTCTGCCCCATGTGTAGACATGGAGTAAGAACTGGAACATTCTTTTGCTCCTGATGTGCTAAGAAAAGAGGGATCAACCTCCAGCAAAATGTATGATTACTGTCTCAGCTTATGTATCTATTACAAACCAAATGTAGGATATGAAGCTACAGAGGAACCAGGAGGGTTCTAGGATGACTATCTTAGAGGTGAGGGATCAGAGAGGTGAGCTGACTAAGCTTAGACTTAGACTGATGCCAAGGTATCTTTTGCTATTGCAGATGTATCTTTTCATTTCTCTTTTGAATGTTTACACTAGATGAATGCCCACAGGACTGTCCTTTTAATCTCAGTACATTTCCATCACTTGTGGGCTTTCAAGAAAGACCAGAATTGACAGCCAAAGGATATCGCAAGCATCATGACTGGAATGGGAGATTCCATTTAACAATTTGTGAAAGACAACATTCAATCAGATGAGTTGTTTCATTCCAGTAGTATGCTTTTGGCAGTGGGTGTTCTTTTTATCATGTAAATGAGCAATTTAAAAATATATTTGAGTGTGAGGCCAGCCTGGGCCACTTAGTGAGTTGAAAGCCATCCTGAACTACATAGCAAGACCCTGAACTACATAGCAAGACCCTGTCTGAAAAAAACAAAACAAAATTATATGTATATAAATTTGAAGAAGTGAAACAAAAAACTAGACTGTCAAGAATGTGGAGAAGTAGAATCCATGTAGTTTTGTAGCGTCAATAAAACGATTTTATTCTAGCTACTTTTAAGAGAAACCTACTTTGAACAGATGAGAACTTACTTTCTTCAGCATGAATGCCAGCCACATGCTAGGTGATGAATACAGAAAGATAAAATGTAATTGCTCTGAGCTAAAGTTGTTCAACACATGTAACTGGAGGATCTTGATGCTAAAGGATATTTTTCAAGCATCACTAGAAGGAGACCTTTGAATTCTGAAGCTCTCTACCTCTCATAGTAAGGTTACATTGGCTGTTTTCCAGGGTAAGTCCCTTTTTCTATTCCTCTTTCAACCCCAAATCTTTTTGAGACCAGCATTCACATCCCAAAGATCAGTTATGTAAAGGGAGACAGTATTTAAAGGAATTTAGTTCTGATTGGAACCAGAATAACTGCCATATTCTCTTAAGTTTATTTTTAGACTGTAAAGGATGTGATCTACACTTGATGCACTTGATAGAAACCTATGTTTTTAACATGGCATTGCTGCTTGTAAGAAATCAATATATAGAAAACACAGGCCTGTTATGAGAAGCTTTACTCACTATTAATGTTCTCTTTATTTTCTGGGGAGGGAAGAAGTAAGTGTATTTACACACACACCAAAAAAAAAAAAAAAAAAAACCTTCATAATTTATTGAGTAATCCCAGGATATTGAGATGATCCTTCTTGATTAGAAGTGGATCTCATTTTAATGTTCTGTCTATAATGCTAATTTGAATGAGTTTCTTATTACTGATGTGTATTTTACCTTCAGTCTGTGTTCTTATAAGAATATTTTCCTTAGGAACCTTGTTTTGTTTCCTTTCTACCTGATTCTCATGTCAGCTTACATTCTTGGACATAGAGAAGTCCTTATCTTAGATCATATAGGTGCCCAGTAGCAATGTGGAAAACATATGGGCATCAAGCCATACTATTAAGGAAATCACTACAGATTAAGTATGTTAATGGGGCTATCAGAAGCTATGATAACCAGAAATGTTGCCAGTTGACCAGATACAGCAAATGAGATAATGTATCTAACTGTGCCTTGTATTGTGGAATTCAATAAAATCTTGTTGAATTTGTCATTGAATTTTTATAACTTTTTTCACCTTATCTTGAACATTGTTGAATAAATATCTTGTTTTTATGCCACCTTCCCAGAGTACCACCTGACAAAACAGTGGAAAGATGAAATCTAAAATACCACTTTAGCTTAGCTTTGACATAGAAGTGAGGGATAGAACACTAATGTACTGCTAATAATAAACTCAGTCCGATTGGTTGTTCACAACCTGTCACATCTATTTATTTAAGGTTCACAACAACTCTAAGATAACTGCTTTTAGCCCCATTTTACAGATAAAGTACACATAGAGAGGTTAAGTAACTTGCCCCAGTCATACAGCTAGAAGTGCCGGAACTGGGATTTCAATCTAGGCAGTGCACCTTTAGGACCTGAATATAACCAGAGTACTATACTTTCTCTATTCCCCATGGTTCAGCATACTGCACTGGCTGCACTGTTGTGTGACCAATGTCAGATTCTTACACCTGGGCAAGGCAGCATCACTATTCTCATTTTTATGGATGAGTTAACATCACAGTTTAATTTGTGACTTGCTCAAGACACATAGCTAGTCAGTGCCAGAACTGGGAAATTACTTCAAGTCAGTAAGAAACACATTTATCGTATAGCAATGATAGCAAACCCTTTAGAACTTTCAATAATACGGCCAGTGCTGCAGCACATGTCATAGGCTCACCAGCACTGTCTAGCATATAGCCCATAGAAAAGGTACAATAAGGACAATAGATGGCTATATTCTGAAACAGTATTCATAATCGCTGTCAGAAATGTGCACAGGAGAAACAGCTGATTTTCTAGCTGAATACTGGGACGTTCTGTTGGTTTCAAATTGGACTAAATTGGAAAATGTCTCTTGATTTCTCTAATTTTAGATGAACAAATTTGATTGAATGGAGAGGAAAGCCAGAGTAAAAAGGAATTTTGATTGTGAGAGGTTAGAAAAACATTCAGTAAGACTGTGTTTCTGGAGGTTTTCTGGAGGTTTACCGGAAATTGTCCACACTGTCAAAGTTTGTTGCCGAAGTGAAAATGAAGTTTATCTCAGGAAGTTCATACCAGCAGATCAGTGTCACCTTGAAGTGTGTTACAGAAGCAGGTATTTCAACCCAAATCCCTGACCTACTGAATCAGAAACTCCAGCCACAGGGGCCAGCAGTCTCTATTTTAATAGTTCTGTAGGGAGATTCTGAGGTGCAGAGGACTAAAGACTCCAATTTAAGGTTTACAAATCTAAAGCAGTAAAAGTCTAAGCTGGAGTATATCTATGGAAGCCACAAAAGGAGTGAATTTCAAGGAGATAAGTCAGTATTACCAAATTTAGTGGGGTGTGGCGGTGCACCCCATCACTCCAGCACACAGGAGGATCACCAAGAGTTTAAGGGCAACCTGGACTCCATAGTGAATGCAAAGTCAGCCTGAACTACACAATGAGGCTCTGTCTCAACAAAACAAAACAAAACAAACCTACAGAAAGTTCAGTTCTATTTGGGATATGACCTCCTACCTTTCTGTTCCATTCCTCATTTGAAAATTCTCCCTTCAAGTTAAGTGGAGAAATAGGGGGTGAGGGAAAGGATTAACAAATTGTCTTAATAAAACTTGACCTGATGATTACTTCAGAGTCTCCCTTGGACCAAAGCAGGTGGTGCTCTGCTCTTCCCAGTTTTCAACTTCAAACTAATATATTCTCTTTCTCCTATTTTTACCTAGTCACAATGACAATGAATCTATACACGGAATACTTGAGGAATAGTATCTTTTCCAGGTTGGAATATGGAGTGAACAGTGGCAAGAAAGCGACACTCCTATAAATACCCCATGCTGATTGTGCCCCTGGAGTTCCACGAAAGTCATAAAAAATCAAATCTTGCTAAGAAACTAGTCAGTTACTGTAAGCAGAATCAGGGAATCTCATCGGTATGTCTTCCAATGGTTGGACTGGTTTAAGAATCCCCGTTTTGTTTGGTTTTCAATTTGACTCTGTATTCTTACAGGCCTAGGTATCATTGGAAAAGCCACAAAGGTAGATCTTAAGTTCCTCCTGTAAAGACTGCTGAGGGGGCTACTTTAACAAGTGGGAAGATGGTAACCAGGAACATGTCAAGGGCATTGCAGAGACAACAGATGGGAAGATTTCAGGTACACAATAGGAAACGTTCCTCTATTGTCTGCACTATAGGTGAAGCTTCCAGATTCACTCTGACAACGGAAAGCCTTGGGGACTTCGTTCCGTGACTGTCACAGTCCTTTCGACGTGCACTCATGTGTACCCATTAGGTTGCCGGTTTCTTTAAGGCAAGAATGTCTTAGTCTGTGTTTCTACAGTCTTCCAGAAAGACGGTCGCAAAAAGTTTTATGATTGTCGAACCGTGAAAAACAGGCTTTAATAAATGATCCGGGGCCGGGGAGATAGCTCAGCAGAATAAACTCAGTAGAATAAGCGGTGCCGCAAAAATAAATAAAATAAAACGGTTCCGCAAAATAAATAAATAAATAAATAAATAAGCCGCTTACAGGCCAACATACAGTTTTTCCGTCATCTTTGATGAACCGGATTTTGTTTTCATCTCATTAGAGATTCAGTGATAAGTAAAACACTCAATACATTCACTCTAAACTTTCTGACGATTTATTTTCAAAATATTCTCTTAAACTGGTAAATTTTCCCAACCAAGCAGGAATAGAGGCCAGAGTGTTAGCTTCGGAATTCAGCTCCCCCACCTGAGTTTATTGCGAGGCCAGATACAAGGGAGTTTCTAAGAAAATGTAGTCAAGACTCGGAATACGCCAGACACCGGCTTCCATATTCGATAGTAACAGCAAACCATCTTGCAGCCTCTTAATCCCAGCTGTACACCGGCGTGCCGGAACTAAAGATCCGTGGCCTCAATTTCTGGGCGGACAAAGGAGCGTGTAACCACGGATCGATTGTTTCTGCCTTGCGGAGGGTAATCAGGGGAGGGCTGGGCAGCGCCCCGCCCGGAAGCCGCTGAGGTGTAAGTGGGCGCCGAGCTGGCCGAAGTTTCAGTCATGTTCCCGCCCGCAGCTATGCGAGCTTTGCGAAAGAACAAGACCCTACGCTACGGAGTCCCCATGTTGGTGAGTGCCACGAGGCGAAATCTGAGGGCCCCGGGTTTGCTGCCTCAGGACTTCGGCGAGTCTGCAATGGAGGAAAACGAAGATCCGAACCGGGATGGAGCTGGGGCCGGTGGAGAGCTTCAGTATCGCCCCTGCTCCCATCTCGTTGTTATTACCAGGATCTGCGTGACGACCTCGCTCCCATCGAGAACGGGATGTTGTTACCATAGCCGAGGAAACTCAGTCACAGAGAAACCAGTTAATCCCAGTCTAGTGATTGCGAAATTTGTTTCCAGGGTATTCAGCGCAGTATCCGCCACAAGGCGGCGCCCTCGAGCGCTTGCTGTGTTACCATTTATATTTCTAAAGCAATGTTTGAAGCAGTTTTGGTGTTCATAGCCTAGTGTTCATAGGCTAGATTTTTGCGCTGAGCGCCCGAAAAGTGTCATGAGCATACAGGTTGAGGCTGACGTAAGACCAACCCGAATTGGGATCCAGACAGCCTTTAGTTGCTGTATGAGCATGGGCTAGTTTTGCTTCAGCCTCTGTATCCTAAGAAATGAAATAAGCATGTAAACAAAAGCAGCTTTAAAAATTTTTTTTATTACTTTGGTACAGATGTTGGCACAGGTGGAGATACCATCTTTTGCATTAAACAGCACTAAAGGAAGAAGGCTGATTTTAAAAGGTGATAGGCTTTTCTTTTCCATCATCTTTGATGAACCCGAATTTTGTTTTCACCTCTAGGAAACTACTTCAAATATATTTTTAAAGGGTGTGAGGATAACTGCCTTTATAAAATAACAGTAATTATATCTGTGTACAGAACATGAGTTTAAAAAGTATTCTCTGCAGATAGCGCTGCTACCTTGAAACATAGTGATTGTGGTTACTGACTTGTAGTCCCCAGCCTGATTCTATGGAAATTAGTTTGATTTTCTCATCTTTCACAATTAGCAAAACAAAGGTTTTAAGCCTAATACACATTGAATTACTTTGTAGGATTTTCCTCAGTTCTAGTTCATGAACTGAAAATTACCTCATTACTTCTTCCCAAGTATGCCATTCTAGACTGTTCAGTTTATCTGTACTGGATCTGGGCCCCACACATGTAAATAATTTCATAGAGCAAAATACTGTATTCAAGAGTCAAAGTCTAGTCTTACTGGAAGAATTCAAGAGACACATCCTCTTGGTCATGTGTCAGTCAAATATACCATCACTACTATACTGTTTTTATATTTAAGTTGAAACTACAGTATTTTCTTTGTTACTTAAATTTAATGCTCGGGCTGGGGAGATAGCTCAGTGGCGTAAGTGCCTGCCTGGCAAGTGGAAGGTCCTGAATTCAATCTTTTGATTGCTGGTACCAAAAAAAAAAAAAGTTTCATTAAATGTTAATGCTTCCTAGTGCTCTAGATTATTCAACAATATACAGAGGGGGACTTGGGTTACCAGATATATGCTAATAATACTCCTCTTTTCTCTCTCTTCCAAACCACTTGAAAATATATTCAACTTCTGTACCATCTGTTTAACCCCAGAATTTACCCTTCTAACCTGACTAGTGACCATTTGTTCCTGTACATTAAAAAAATTCTCTAGACGTGTTCACGTCCTTGTTTGTAGTATATACCTCCTGCACCACCACTCTCACATTCTGCCCTTCCTGTTTAACTTTTTCTGTTTCAGTTGCTGGTTGTTGGAGGTTCTTTTGGTCTCCGTGAGTTCTCACAAATCCGCTATGATGCTGTGAAGATTAAAGTAAGAACTATATGGAGTTTGACTTACATCTGAATACGCATGTGCTTAGTTAATGTTCTCGTTGCTGAGACAAAATACTTAATAGCCGCAGTTAAAGGAGAAAAAAATGATTTGGCTCACAGTGTGTAGAGGTTTCAGTCCATGATCACTGAATCCAAGGCAGGGTTCCTTGGCAAAGGGCCATCGCAGAGGAGAACAGTTCATGGCACCCACAAGATAGCAAAAGCACCAAGGGAAAGAGACAAGACTCTTTCTGTCCCTTGTATGCAGGCTCCCCAGCATAGGATAGGAATAGCACTCCCACCCTTAATCCTAGCCAGAACTGTGTCAGACCAACCATTGGGCTGATTTACTAATCACACACCCTTAATCCCAGCATTACACACCCTACACTCAGCCATCCCCAAAAAAGCCCCATCTAAAATTGCATGAGGCTTTGGGGAAACACCTAGAGAGAAACTATAACACTATGTCTTGGTTTAATATACTTAACAGTCTGAGTTTGTGTTATTTTTCAAAACTAATATACATTTTCTCTTATTCTTTAAAATAGACTAATGACCACATGTACAGTTTTGTAGCTTTCTTTCATAAAACATTCTCAGATATAATTGATAAGAATTTAGAAGGATCTAAGAATATGAGTCAAAAACTTTGCATTATTTCTCCAGTTATGATTTAGCTATTTTATCTTACTAACAGCTCTATAAAATATGTTGATATATGTCTTTAGAACTGATACAAAAAAAAATCCCAGAAGATTACTTTTTGTTACAAATAAAGATACTAGGCTGGGGAGGTGGTTCAGCAGTCCATGCATCTGCCTGGCAAACACAAAGACCGGGGTTTGATCCCAGGTACCATATTCTGTGCCAGCCCTGAAATTGGGTGTGGTGGTACACTCCTGTAATCCCAGCATTGAGAAGGCTGAGACAGGAGGATCACTATGAGTTCAAGCTGCGTAGCAAAACCCTGTACCAAATAAATAAATATATTTTTTTAAATTTCAAAAATAAGGGCCGGCAATATAGCTCAATGGACTAAGCACTTGTTTAGGTAAGCACAGGGACCAGGGTTTGATCCCAGGCACTGTGTGCCTCACCAGCCCCATCCCCGGGTGCACTAAGCCAGCAGTGGAGTCTGAGTGTGGTGGCATGGGCCTGTAATCCCAGCAGTAGGTAGGCAGCAATCAAGAGGATCACTATGAGCCTGAGCTGGAGTCCGAGCTGCATAGTGAGACCCTGCACACACACAAAAAAAATCTTAGGAAAAGTTTTAAAAAATAAAATAAAGATACTATCTTACGGTAGGAGGGTATTAGTTTCTTCATTATACATGTAGTGAGGAAACAGGTTCAGAAAGCTTCCATATCTTGCCCATGGTCATGTGGTTATTTAGGGGCAGTACTGGGATTCTCTTTATGGTTATACATGTACTGTCATGTCTGTGCCAAGCATTATCTAAAAATTTTCATTCACTGAGAGGTATACCTTCCAGGTTTATCATCCTCAGACCTCAGTAATATTTCTGGGACAGTAAAGAGTATAAAGATGATTCCATATGCATATAATTTTGTGTTTTAAGTAAAGCCATCTCCAGCTAGTCTTAAACATAGATAGGAATTAGACTGATATACTTTTAATATATAGTTTTTGTAAGGGTATAGAATAATTTTTAGTTAACTGAACAATTAGCTAATTTTCAGTTTACTAACAGCCTTTAATGTAACTGTTAAAATATTTTATTGAGCATCCCAGTTGCTCTGTGAAGGTAACCTTCAAAAAATAAGAGCTGAAAGCAGCTGCTTTTAATTTTTAGCTTGACAAAGATAGGGTTCATCTCCCGCCCTGAGGGGCACTGCTGCTTCGTTCTCCCGGCTGCTCCTGCTGGTATCTGTGCTCTATAACCCGGGATTGCCTGGTGATTTAAGTGTGCAGTGTGAGTACACAGAACAACCTGTAATCGTGCCTGTAGTGCTTTGTGACTGGTTGTGCTGCTTTCATTTTTAATATAACAAATAGTATGACCATGTTTTCTAAGATGCAATGAAAATGAGAACAGTTAGTTTTTAATTAAGTTTAATACTTCATTTAAAATTTTTTTCCATTTTCTCCTATTCTTTTTTCTGTCTTTTTTTTTTTTCTTCTCTCATTTACGTAATTTATTTGGAAGTGTTTACACCAGTACAGTGAAACTAAACTTTAGAGAATGGATATCATTACTTTAGATATCATCAGTTTATTATAAAAGAGACATGGAAATTGTGTACATGATGAAAGATGGCAGAACCACAGAGGAATGAGCCATTCTGTGTGACGCCATTTCAACAGTGATTTACTTCACTCTATGTATTTTCCAAGAACGTCACCATCTCTAAATAAGAAATAATCCTTGTCAACTAGAATTACTACTTTGGTGCCTCCATATTCTGGAAGAAGAACTTAATCTCCGACTTCCACACTAACTGGTTGGATCTCTCCACCCTTTCCCTCAGAGCCAGATACCATGGCTACCACAGCTGCTGGCAGCACTTTGCCTTGAGATTTTTCTGGAAGCATAATGCCTCCTTTGGTGACAGTTTCAGCTGCTCTCCTTTCAACCACTATGTGGTCATACAGCAGGAGAAACTTCCAAAATGCCTGTCCTGCCTTGGCTCCTACTCTACAGCTCACTCAACTACCACGCTGCCTCCACAAAGAGAAAACTCTGTCTTAATTTTTATATTTTATATTGTTTTATCTCCTGGTATTAAAGCTATCATTTGCTATTCTCAGTCTATTACTAAAGCCACCTTTTGACTTTTATGATTTACTACATTTTTTTTTTTTTTACTACTGAACTGTACATTTAATTTTGTGTTGCATACTAGCAGAGGAATTTTCCATGCTATCATAATTTTATTCATTTTTCTTCACATAATATATGTATCTCATATATATATATATATATGACATATATATGTATATATATATAGTCTTAAATTTTTTTCTGTTGGCTTTTTGACTCATTTTGTGTTTGAACAGATCTCAAAACTTTTTAAATTAAATGTTGGACACTATAAATAACTGAGGTGACAGATGGCACTTTTTCTCCAGGAAGAGCATGCTTTTTAGTATGCTTCACTTGGCGTGTAGAGTGAGTAGCTCGTCCTTTAATATCTGGAGATGAGCTGGTTGTGGCTAAGTGAAAATTAATTGTCTCTGCTTCCCTATTTCTAGGATATTGCACACTACCTGGCTTTCATTTGGGACTCCTAGAAACTTAGCTGTACTTTTCAGAGATTGTTTTCAGCCATCTGTTGTTTTGTTTTATTTTGTTGTGGTGTTTTTGTTTTTGTTTTTTGGTACCAGGAATTGAACTCAGGACCTTGTGCTTGCCAAGCAAGCACTTATTCTACTGAGCTATCTCCCCAGCCCCTTACATGAAATTTAGGAACTGCTTTGAAGGCAGTTCCTTTTTATATATCTTTAATCTCAATATTTTTCAGTGTAGCCTTGTGTGATGGTTCTCTAACCCCCAGGAGTACCCATTTACTTCTCTTCTATTTTTTTTTTTTTTTAATGTATTTAGTACAGGGTCTACAAGATTTTACTACAAGGATTGGACTCTCTTGCTCACTTCTTGTGTCTTTCCTCAGATGATCCATATTCCTGGCTTCTCCAAACTTCTGCCCTTTCACACACTGCCCTCTCAGGGACACACTGCCTGGTCTCCTAGGCCTTCTTCTGAAATCTGGGTAGAAGCCTTCCTCGCCCTACAGCTCTTGTATTCTGCTTGCACCTGAAACCTGCAGAATGGGATGAAGCCCAGATTAAGTGGTCCATTGCCCATAGTCTTAGTCTCCTGTAATGTCTCTGGATATGGACAAAATGTAGACATTTTTTTTTCTGCCAAAGCATGACCTGGCTTGGAGTCCAACTGCCGATAGAGTCTTTTCCAGCTGAAGCCTCTTGAGTCTGGTCTTTTCTTTCTGCGTTACAAGCAGCATTTGTTTTTCAGAGGTTTGGCCGGAATCTCCCACAAGCATGGCATACAGCATTCTTGGGCTGCTTCTCTAGCTGGCTTCTGTAAAACTTATTCTTCTCACAAGCCAGTTCCAAAGGCTTCTGGACCATGCAGCCAGGCAGCTTCACCACAGTGACTACCCCTAGTATCAAAATCTTTCTTACTTTCCCATTTCTGGAACAAAATACCAAACACCCAAAAGTTAAAGGAAGAAAGGTTTATTTTAGTTTGTAGAGGTTTCACTTCATAGCTGATTCTAAGGCAGGGCAGCCTGGCAAGAGGGCATAACAGGAGAAACAGTTCATGGCATGGCAGACAGGAAGCAGGAAGCATTTTTCCTTTCCTTTTATCCAGGCTACAAGCCTGTTGGTACCACCTCTACCTATGGTGACCTACACCCAGGGTGAGTCTTCCCTTTTAAGTTCATCCACACTCGAAAAAATGCTGCACTAACCAGTGAATTAATGCAGTATCACGTACCCATGATCCAGTCACTCCCAAAGCACACCTGTGAGAGCGTAGGCTTTGGGGCACCTCTGGATAGAAGCCATAACTTTTGCCATGTGTTTTAAATTGGCCATAGTAGCCCATCCATGCCTTCTATAACTTTAAAAGTAAAAAATTGAATTAAGAAATTTAAATAACTTATGGTTCCTCTTTTATTTCTGTAGGTTGATCCTGAATTGGAAAAAAAGCTGAAAATGAATAAAGTATCTTTAGAGTCAGAATACGAGGTATGATATTAATAGCCTATGTTTTCTAACAGTCTTACTGGTTATGACTGGTTCTCTCTGCCCTAAAATAAACCAGTATTGCAGAAAAATTGGTTATTTTAAATATATGGTATTGATAGCATATAGATTAAATGCCTCTTATGTGAAGTACTTGAGGCCAGAAGTATTTTAGATTTTGGAGTTTTTCACATTGGCTTTACCAGTTAAGCATCCATAATCTGAAAACCTAAAATACTACCAAAAATTATGTTGTTGTCGTCGTCGTCAGTGGTGATGGTTGTGGTGGTGATGTTTCGTGGTGCTGAGGATTAAACCCATGGCCTCACCCAAGCTCAGTTCCTCTCCTTTTGAGCTACTGTATCTGACCCAAAATCTGAAATTTTTGAGCATTGTGTCAGCACTCAAGATTCAGATTTTTAAGGATGCTCAGCCTGAATAACCATTTGAAAAGGAAATGAAGATAGATTCATACATACCACGAATAAATTCCACACGGAGCAGGAATCTGAAATTCAGCAAAACACTAAATGTACTATGAGGAAGAAAATGTAGATTTTAAAAATAGTGTTAAACCAGAGAAGCCTACTTAAATATAAGCTTAAATACAATGTAAATATAATTTACAGCATTTACAGAAGCTGTAAAAGTGAAAATGTTATGTGTTTGTACATTAAAAATCCAAAAGTTCAGCCTAAAAAATATTCTGGATTAAGTCACAAATTAAATGAGAAATCCTAAAAATATATCTTATTGTGGCTAATTAGTTTTAAATATGAAGAACACCTACATGTCAGTAAGGAGGTCCAGAGATCAGTAGGTCAATGGGAATGTGGACAAAACATACAAGGAGTTTCGAGGAAAACTCTGAAGCATAAAGAAATGCTCAACTCATCAAAATAGAAGTGTTGAAATTATAACAAGATATCATTGTTGACTAATCTGATTCCAAGAATCAAATAGCTTAATAGCACATTGTATTACACATTGTATTATAGGATGTAGTGTGAACACATCCTACAATACATAAATATATAAATGTTCTCCACTTACACTTTATTCCTTTTTTTTTTCACGGAATTACATTTTCCTCTTACTTTGTATGTCTGATCATTTTTTTATTGAAGTTGAACATGATAAGTAATACATTTTAGTGACTTCTGAAAAGTGTTGACTGCTTTTACCTGACAGTTAAGTTATTGGCTGATCATTTTGAACTTGGTTTTGTTGTAGTGTGTCCTACATTTCTATAACTTGATGTTCAGCTCATTCTTCAGACTGTTTCCCCAAAGAATCTTGGGTGGCTTGGTTTTAAATTTTGCTGGAATCTACAGGAGGTATTGTTCTCAACTATAATCCCTACCCCTAAATAGCAGCTTTAGCGGTGTGTTGGTGTCTAGTACGAAGGAGAGGCCTCCGACTCTGGCAGGGCTCAAAATCTGATTTTCCTGACATCCCTTTTCTTCAACATTTCTTTTTTTTTTGTTTCTTTCCATAATTTTATTGAGAAACAAATAGCAATGAGACACTTTCAAACCAAATTCTTAGGACAGATTCAATAATTAACACATTGCATACATTCTTCCTAGTGGTTAATTGCTGTACAGGATGCAGACATGATATCCTATTTACAAACACTATTACAACAAATACCTTAAGAATGTAACTATATATCTATCCTAACCATTTTGAATACACAGATACAAAATGGACATTCATCTGTATCCCCTTTTTTTTGTTAAGTTCCGTTATTTGAATATTATAGGTGTGTTAACCCAGCAAAATATTCTAAAAGAGTCAAGTAGTCCATAATAGTATTGGGTCTTCCACATCACTGGCAATGTCAGAAATTGTTGACCTGAGTCCCCTACAGCTCAACGTAACAGCATGACTTTACTTCCTATACTTCGTTTTTATACTTTTCTGCTGGATGGTTAAGACCAAGGTAAAGCAACAAGAATTGTAGCTTTTGGGTCTGAGAAGGTCAGTGAAATCTCCTCAGGATTTGTCCTGAGATCCTGTACCTCAGGTTGTAGAACCTTTGTCAGTGTCAGCCATGTGGATGAGTCACGGCCATTGCTTGGCCAATGTGCTCTCTGTGAAAGCCTGAGAGAATGTTTTCTCTCCACGTGACTCTCCTTAGGCACATTCTACATCATCGATCACTTTCATCTTTGCCCCCATAATCACCTTGATCAGAAAATTTGGGACACCACCGAGTTACATGACGTTACAGTACAAGTTCTCATATGTCCTGAGTCTTAATTGACCTTGGAAGGCTAGGGCCAAAATGTTAGATTTCCTTGCGGCCCTCCTTTTTCTCTAATTTTGGTCTGCAAGCTTAGGTTGTTAACCATCCAGAAGACAAGTTTATTGTTATTACCATACAACCTACGCTTTTAAGCTTAACCTCACTATCTGTCTGAATATCAAACATCTTAGGCATAACATGGAACAGGTATTTTTCATCAAGTATTGATATGTTGAACTTTAA